AAATAAAACTATATGAAGTCAATTTAATTAGGAATATTAAAGCAACAAAAGCAAAAGTCTAGGTGGTCCTATTGTTAGCGTTCTGGTCTTCCACGCGAATGATTGGAGTTCGATTCTCGGATGGGGAAAAATTGAGTGATTTTTTTTTCTTGCATAGCTTTTATAGCGGGCTTTGAGCGCGGCGACCGAATCAAGAAATTCCGTAACGAAAAAAAACCTAACACCCTCCACTCCGATCGGCACAGCGGTGCGGCGTTAAACAATATTAACTTCTCATTTATTTAATAAAAGAAAATCGAAAAATCGAAAGATTGAACAATCGACAAATCGAAAAAGAAATTCCCTAACGAAAATAAACCTAACACCCCCCACTTCGACCGGCACAGCGGTGCGGCGTTGAAAGCCGTGCATCGTCTAACGTCGTTTCAGATCGGCAGACTTCGGCACGGTGTTTGTGTGCGTGTAGACTAGCTGCTAACTGCTCATAACTGATTCTATCTCTTTTAGACACAATTTCGGAAAAATTGAATTTGAAAATGAATAATGATCCACAAGAATACACAACAAAATATGGGACCACCATTGACGCGGTATTTTCCAGATATTTAAAGGATATTAAGTCTCAAACTTATGTTTCTTATTTCAGTTACCATAAACCTATAGTTTCAATGATAACAATTCCTGAATAACCTACATGTATTGTAAGATAATAAAAATATTTTAAACAATATTAACTTCTCATTTATTCAATGAAAGAAAAAAATTGTTTTATCGGTCACGACGCTCAAAAAGTGTTAACTTGAATTAATATCAAAGAAAAAACTTGAATTAATACCAAAGAAAAAAATACTGCATAAATAAAATAAACAAATAATTATAATTGCATAAGTTGATAAAAAATGCTAAGCAATAGCTTTACCGCGACAGTCCCCGAGTGCCACACGTATTTTTTTCGTTTATTTTATTTTAAAATTTATTAAAATTCATAAATTATTTTAAAATTAGTTATTTTGTCTTAATAACCTAAAATACCTATTTTTATTTGTAAATTTTCGTTAGTAGGTCGGAGAAAAAATATACTGTACTACTGGAGTGGATTGTCCACATCACACATCACTACGGCGTCGTGCTCAAATTTCGTCTTCGTGCGATATGGCCATCAAATCCATTCATGTTGCACAAACTCCTATATCTATTAAAACATGCGAGACTTATTTAGAAATAAATACAACAGTACATTCTGTGCTTTATTTGGCAATAAACAAGTTTATTTTTATTTGACAAAATTATGTAAAATTCCCATAACAATCCATGTATTTTGAACAGCGGTACTAGCACCAGCGCCCTTGCGGTTCGTTTTTTTGGGACCGTATTTCGAGTATGCCGATTCGCCTCCTTATCTCTAGTCTTCATACTTGCAACAAATCCAACGTACTTATACAGTGTGGAGAAGCCAAATGGAATAAATTCGGTAATAAATAAATGGGGACGTGTTCGGAAAAACACTCAGACACGTCGATTGGTGTTTTTAGTTGCGCTTTTTTTAACAAAAATTTTTTATATAGCGTGTGTCATGTAACAATAGCCAATGCCAACTTTCTTATTTTAAATGCAACACCCTGTATATTTTTCAATTTTTTTTCTATCTCCAAAAATATTGGAATCTCAACCTCTCTCTAAAATCCTTATTTCATATATAGCATTCAAAATGGAATAAAAAAAAGTTGTTTGTATTTGTATTATCTATCGAGTGGCGCAATAAAATTAAAGAAAAAACAAAATTTTTCCAGATAATTTATTGTTGTAAAAGATTATTTTCGACCGCTGGCGCTTTGAGCTCCGGCTGGTTTTGGAGCCGGCTGGCTAGGAGCTAACATGACAGAGGTTGTATATTTTTCAATTTTTGGATTCTTCAGAAAATTATAGACATATTTTATGTACTATACCTGTTTCGGAAATATTAAATGTTTTCTGATTTATTGCAAAAATTAACAATCTGTAATCAAACAATTTTATTATGTTAAATTGTTTGATTACAGAAATTCGCTACAACACACTCAATACTTATTTACCATTTAGGTCTGGATAATGAGAAAGTAAGCAAAAACCATTTCAGCGTTCCTTTTTACTGATATAAAATAAAAAAGCTACACTCAAATAGTTTTGTTGACTTTTGTTTAAAACGCCTGACTTTAGTAAATTATTATCTGACTTCATGACAGTAGTTATCAATGTTATAGTCATTTGAATTTCCTTAACTGCATATCAGAAAAAATGGTTCATTTAACAGAAATGCACAAAATAACAATTCTACATATGATTGGTTATGAAGATAACACACGGGAGGGGGCGGGAGGGAGGGAGGGAGGACCATCCCTGGAGTCGCCCTTGGAATTACTTTAACAAGCATAATCGATGCTCTCAAAGAATAACATCGTAATTCGAAAATGGCTCTTTTACAGAAAACGCGTTCAAAGCTTTCAAGTTTTTTTTACAGAACGGTTTTTTTTTAAATAAAATTTATCCAGAATCAAAAATTGTTATGTAAATATATTTCGATAACATTTTAATAATTAAAAAATATTCAAGACTTCTCTCTGTAATATGTGAAGGGTGGGTTAACCCATGGCTCTTAGGCCTCACTAAGTAGATAGGCACCTCCTAGCCTGTAAGCCACCCTACATATTTAATGTAGTTGACAACGTCGCCAAGAGGTGCTTATATCAGCCAGTGTTAGCCAATTAACGCCAAACACAAATCTTCTAATAAATGAGAGCATAGGACTCGTCTTCTCGTTTGCATCCCCTGCAGGGCTGCAGAGTGCTGATTCTGACAGCCCCATGATATGCAGATGCTTTTGTACTTGGCAATGGCCAGTAAGAATTCCTGTGATCAGGCGCATTTTCTGTCTAGTCATAATCAAGTATTTGTTTGCTATAGTGTTGTCAGGATAACTTAAAAGCTCCCTGACAGACAGACTTGTTTCACCCCATCTTTGCTTGAATTTCACAAGGGAATGTCATTTAATTAGGTTTGTCACTACTGCAGTTGTCAGTCCCATAGAAGGGCCAGGTCCAAAAAGTATTTGGTTGGCTGCCTTCTTGGCTAGAGAATCAGCAAGACAGTTACCTTTCGATGTGGCATGACCTTTGATCCATCTTAAGTTGACCACATTGTTGATGGATACTTCGGCCAAAGCGTCATGACATTCTAGTACTAAACCTAATTAAATTCTAAACTTTTAAAAATGTAACTTGAAGAAGATACGATGTAACTCTGCTATTTCTGAAGCATCTAATATCTTATTTAAATATATTTGCTATTGCTAAAGTAACCAGTACCTTATCTAAAGATACAATGAAACTTTCATAACTTTATTACTAGCGGAAATGTATTAGAAACATCATATATTAAGTTCCTAAGCAACCATAATGAGTCAATAATATCTTATGTCTACTTTGGATGATACAGTATATTTATAACATCTTTATTAATTTCGTATGTGTATATACGATGCTATTATAAAATGGCAATCCATTGTAATTATAGTTATGATAATCTTTAGGCCACTTTTTTGCCTGGATGAGATATGATTAGATTTCGTTTTCCATAAAATCATTATAAAACAAAATCTCAAAATTGGGCATTTTCATCGAAAGACTAGGTATTTATAAACCAAAATCTTTTCTTAACTCAATTTTGCCAAAAATCAAGATACGACGTTATTCTTTGCGAGTGTGGATATCATTATAACCTTGTTTTATAAATCTTACTACTATAAAGCAAATATGACCCATTGTCATCTGATGACCCTCTTTTTAAAGTAACAAAGTATTTGAAAACCACAGCTCATAATACCTAATTTTTTTTAACTAAATACTGATATAGCTTTATATAATAACAAAATGTTTCTAGTTTTGTTATTATCAGGGTAATGTTATGAAAATAACTGTGATAAACTCATTTTTCGAGCATATTTCAAATAAATTTCATATTAAGTATTGCATTGTGTTTCATTATTTTTTATCAATACATGTACAAATTACAATCCTTTAAGTGTGAATGATGACATATAGGTATTAGAATATTATAATAGGTAAAGGAAAGTATAGTCCAAAATAATTTTCAAGTATTGTTCAGGAAATGTAATCAAATCATAATGATGTCACTAAATTTCTTCATAACCATTCGTAACATATCAATATTTCAACAAATATTTACTATGAGGACATTGTTTTAAAACAAATATTGAAAAATATAGAAGTTATCTCTAACTATATAAAAACACTATTTTATAAATAATTGAATTTTAGTGATTTTGTGACAAAACAAAATTAACTATAAAATATAGGTAGGTATGTACTTAGAGAACAAATTTAATTAAGAAAATGGTTTTAAAGGTTGCTATAAAATTAAAATTGCTATATAGGCTTACTTTCATTTAAGCATCAAACAGATGATTATTTAAAATAAAATCGCTAGGTACTGAAAAAACCTCAGAAAAAACATATTTTACTAAAAGGTTTTTCATTGCCAATATAAAAAATTGATCTTAAGGTTCTTATATAGAGTATCTTAGTTTTAAAATTTAAAAAACAACAACAATAAGATACAATTATTATAGATAAGTAGGTAAACTCTGATTATTCAATCTTGTTTAGATTAATCTTATAATCCTACTTATATATGCATAGCCAACTTCATATGTGTAGTTGTGGAATTATAAATAAAGATTAAAATTACATTTTAAGGAATTTATTGCATTCTTAAATTACGTAATAACTAAACAAAACTGGTGCAAAATTTGAAATTTTATCACAGCAACACTCGAGACTAAAAATCTCCCTACTTGCATACCAATTATGAGACATTAATACAAATAAAATTGAGTCTAAAAGGATGTCCACGTGCTGTGATCCTATATCAGCATAACCGATTGATCCATTAATTAAATCTCATTTATACAGTGTGATAATTATAATTTTCCAGGACTTACCCACCTCTTGACAAGAGACCCTTTTAAAAATATTCAATCTGTCCATTCCAATTCAAACTACAAATCACTCCAATCAAGATTTAATAGGAATTTTAGATACCAAAATTAAAATTGTAGTAGTTTGGTTTATTAATTTTTATTTTATTATTTCAGTCATTACACACACCATACGACTGCAGAGCAGATAAGCGGGCGGCGACTTTGACGTAAATGTGATAATTTTTAATTTGATAATTTCAAGGTCACGAGACCTGTCAAAGCTGAACAACAAGGATTTTTGGATTTTTAATAAAAAAAAGTTTCCGTGCAAAAAGTCTAAGATCTTTCAAGGAATGAAAAATACAAGATGTAGCTGTAGCCTGTAACAGTTTAGTAAAAAAAACTTAAATCTATTTTGCAGGGTTGTCAAATCAATCACTATACCTACCTACTTGGAAATTTGAATAATAATTATGAGACCTTTAATTTTTAAATTTCTATGAAAATGTTTTTTTTTTTTATATTGACCGTTCCTCTTAAACGGAATATCTGGGTCATAAATGTGTATTTTTCGTCTCCTTATGCTGTTAATACCTGACAGTTATATATCTATGGACAGTACCTATGGGTGTCTGGCTCTCTTGCCAACGTGGGTTTTTGTGCAATTTTATTCTGTGTCAACACCGTCGCTTTGAACCCGGAGACTTCGGATTTGGTGATCATTTTCGGACTCCGGAGTATGGAGTTTACATTATTAAAACTATATGTGTGGGAGCGTCGCGAATCTGAAATAAAGGCAAATCTGTGAGGCAAACCGCATAGCAGAGCTGGGTAATTCCTAGTTAAAAAGTAATTAATAATTACAATTATTTGTTTTTCATGTAATTTGTAATTATATTTAAGTACTTTTTTTCATCATTTCCTATTTGTATTTTTTTAAGTAATTAGCTGAAATTCTGAGATTTCACGATTTATTGAGAGGTTTGACATTCTTGTTTCCTCGCTTTATTAATATGGAAAAAAAAAATGGCAATGTTTAAAATGAGTACATTACTGCCATCTATACGATGATAGCTTATTTAAATTGTAAAAGGATGTATACAGTTATATAGATTGCTAACCTATATGCAATCTATCACCGTTGTATGAAGAAATATAGTAGTGTAACCTTATGGACTTATCATTGGAGGACGATGGACATAGAATGTAGATGGCGATACTATACTTATGTCCAAGTCAGGTCTTTAGGTCATGTCTGTGCTTGAGTATGAATTATAATTTAAAATCTTCTTTTTCATTTCTACTTGTCTTCGGTAATGTATTTTTATAGTTACAATTTACTATTTCAAATTATTACAAAAGCACAGAATACAGGGTATTTGAAGGTCACATAAAATGCGAAAATAATCGATATAATAAAATAAACCAGTTTTTGTTTGAAAAAGATTGAATTAGTTGAGATTGGGTAGAATTTTACTATAATAGGGAACATTTTTTTTCTATATTGTGGTTGGATTTTGGATATATCGCTGATGGTTAATTAAACTTGAGTTGTACGCTGTTAATTTATATTCACTTTTATTTAATGGTATCATCAAATTAAGAATAGGACATGAACAACTGAATATTATTGTTCAAAATGAGACAAATAGACGAAAATAAAAAATGTTTGGATATAATTTTCTGAAATACAGGATGTTAAGTTGAAAATTAAAAAAGTAATAATGGGTAAATACCTATATAGGTAGTTATAATTTTATTATTCAATATAATTTTACTAAAATCGGCACTGACAAAATTTAACTAACAGATTTTTTTGCTGTTAGGTAAACTTATAACATAATACCAAACACGTTTAGTGAAATTATACTAAGTAATAAAAACATGTAAGCCACTAATTTTCAGTTTTCAACTTTTGACACCATTTAAAAACGAATCGAGTACCAATTTATGGTAGGCACATTTAGGAGTATTATTTTCGAAAGGCAAAATTAAAAATTTTTCATTGTTTTTTTTTGTACATGGAAATACTTTGCTGCATGTCTGCTGCATGTCCTACAATGATGAAGCTCTCAACGAAGGCGTCTTAAAAAATAAATTATAGAAAATGCGAATGTTACATATTTGATTAGATAATTAACATTGACATAAACTTTCATTGCTCAGGACGTTAAGTGCTCAACTTTGGGTTTCGTAAAGATCAGTTACTGACTACTACTATTTTTTTCTGAACTGTTATCAAAATACTACAAAATTTAGCAGCAAGATTGCATTAATTATATTTTTCATATTTTTTCCAAAATAAGAAAGAATGTTTTTATATGTAATTGAATCTGGGTTGGGAAATCCAAACTTGAATGCTTAACGACTTAAGTCTTGAAGGCACTTATATCAAGTTAATTATCTAATCAAATATGTGACGTGGCTTTTTAAAATACCATCATTGTGCGCTCCACAGCGTGTCCATCTTCTACAAGAGAAAAAAGGAGGAAACATTTGTAAAGTTGCCTTGTACAAATGTGTACCAAAAGAGGGCAACTGGCTCTCGTAAGCCTTTTTTGTTTAATTGTCTCATTATTTTAACACTAAGCGCCAGCATGGGAAATATATGTTAAAGTTAGTTTTAAGAACTTTTAACATTCAAATAAACAAAAACAATTTATAAATCTATTATTAAAATCCGTGTTGGAACAAAACATAAAATTGTTGAATTTGAAAGATAATATTCTAAAAATGGAAAAGATTTCAGTCGAGAGCCTATTGGACTGAATATTCAGTTTAAAATCGCTTTTCCGGCCTATAAATCTTCAGTTGTTTCAAAACGAATAAAATAAAGTAGTTCTGTCTAAAACTAAAATAAATTTGCTATCTCGAAGTCCCCATCGATTATTTCCAAACTTTTCTTCAACGTCTTAGTTGTAAGTTTTATATTACATTTTCTTTAATTTGCTATTTCTGTGGAATCATTAATTTTCATTTGCATTATTGTTCTTCTAAAAAAGCGAAATGTGACTCACGTTTTGCTTGATTGGCTTTAATTTTTGAGATAGTCAACCAGTCAAAATAAAAAAAAATTCAAAAAATAATAAGACATTAATTTATTTATTTATTCAGTTTTGTCTGAGCTAACTGAAAGGCTGTATTCTATAAACAATGAAAAAGAGTGATTGTTGTTTTGAACTACTTAAAACATTTTCACTTGAACGGCGTGCGTGATTCAATTTAAAAATGCTTTCCAGAATAAAACCACGTGTTACAGTTTTGACTTCATTTATTACTAAACAGCCAAGTCATATACAAAAACGTTAATCCAAAATCTAAATTAAAAGTAATAACAAATAGCCTATCTACTAGGGTCGGTAACCAAACATATAAACAGAATGGGCAGATTTTGTTCATACTTAACATTATACTCGCGCACTGACACTTAACCTGGATTAAATATAACTGTAAATACAAATATTTTACAAACAAATATACTTTTCCAAACAGTGATAAATTATATAAAAAAAATGTTTTTTTATAAGATTTTCTTTTATGTTCAAAGTTAGGACTTTATAATTATTGTGTCATTCATAGAATTCTGTACTAAATAAGAGCACTGATTTTGGAAATAAATTTTAACCATTTTGGCAAGTTGCTGAACCTTGTAACATTGCATAATGAAATATAAAAACTAACTGAATATGTCTGCCACAGATAGACCACTTGTAGGTCTATTGATTTCGTCTTGAACTATTCCTAAAGAGTGGAGCTATTGGAAACTTCCTTTCAAGGTGATTTATTTCAACACTCAGAGCCAGCCGAGAGAACATTTTTTTCTTATATTCATGATCAACAGCCAAGATACATTTGAAAGTTGCTAATATATCCCTGTGACTATTTTTTTTTAATTTGTTTTCCAGTGTTGATTGATTTTTCCCTGATTAGTGTGATTTTCTTGTTCCTTAACTCAATATCTTGCAAACTGTTGATAGCTTTGATGAAATTTTGTAGCAAAGCTTGTTCAAATTTTGAAAACTATAAAAATATTCAGCTATTTTTATGGTTATAAACTTTTCCAACACTTAGTCCAATTAGAGGTACTTAGATTACATGCAACATTTTCAGAAGCTTATTCCTTTTTTGTTTTCTACTTGGAACTTTTCAATTTATTTAAAACATTGGACATTGTTATAAGTTGTTATTAGGTATTCTTTGTTATTGTTTATATATTTTGACATAACCGCACATAACCAAAATATTGACCAAAGTCCTTAACCACTTTTTATCACCTTAATCCAAAAATTTTATTCGTACGGTTTTGTCAACTGGAATAAATTTTCATTATTATGTTTAATTTTTCATGTCTTTTATCATAAATTGTTATTTTTAAATAAATAAAGATGTTTTTAACTATAATAGGTAGGTGATAGAGGCCATGTGCCTGAACGAAAAGAAGACGTAGATGGCGTATCTGCATAGCATTAAAAATTGACTACTTCATTAAATCGTCACTAGATGCCGCTCGAGATTGCATCCAACACTTTTTACTGTTGCATTATCCTACTATATTATCTTCATACAACGCTATCACTGTGCAGAACCGTTCTGGTCCAAATGTGTTTTGAAATAAAATTTGAGTATTTCAAAATTTAGAAGAAGAAAAAAAAAAAAGAATTACCATATTTTTTATTTAAAACCACGATATTATTTTAGGTATTTTAAACATTTTTTTTCGTTTCTTTTGTAAAATTGAATTTTCATAATAGTCAAATATTATTAGGAGATCTAAACAAATTTTATAACAGACAGATGTAAACAATTTTAGGCAACTCTCATTTCAGAAATAATACTATATGAAACAACTTTTATATGAGATATAAATAACTTTGGTAAAAGATGTAACCACACTATATTGGAGACATCATTTATTATAATATTAAATGTTATAAAATTTTTATTGATTTTTAACATTTTAAAGTTTCTTGCAATCTGTCTACTAGTTGCCTAAAATTGCTACAAAATGTTTTAATACCACAGTGTGTAAATTTCAACTTTACCTAGTCTTAGTGGATAGTATAAGTCCGGTTATTTCGGTACGTAATATTGAGATAGAATAAAAAACAAAAAAACACGCTTTTAAAGCATATCAAACTAAAAAATTAAATATAATTTTTTTAACACCCTTTTATTCAAATAAATTTAAAACAATAATAAATGGAAAATACTACTATTATTGTGAAAAAAGCGTCGGGCGCTCGATTTACGAGAAATATGGACAAAACGACCCACGCTTTTTTCACAATAATACTAGTATTTTCAATTTATTATTGTTTTAAGCTTATTTGAAAAATTATTTTTAATTTTTTAGTTTGATATGCTTTTTAGTTTTTTTAAACTATATTTACTTTTCACTTTTTAGTTCGATGTATTATAAAAGCGTGTTTTTTAGTTTTTTAAACTATATTTATTTTTTACTTTTTAGTTTGATTAATTATTAAAAAAAATTGCTGAAAAAAAAAATATTTTTTTTTCAGCCGTGGACGGGATTCGAACCCACGATCGGTGAGTCTGGCGATCGAAAACCCGCGCCTTAGACCGCTCGGCCAACGAACGAACTTGAGGTAGTATGATATACTGACAGTAATAAGCCACTTGCTTTTAGTCCAAAGGAAAGTTACAAACATACATACAGGTGAAGCTAATATAAGCATGTTAAAAAAAGAGAAGATGCTATGATGATACTAAAACCCGAGAATACCGATCAAGGAGAAGCGACAGCTTGGTGTTTTCAGTGTACCGTTTTGTAACGCGCATGTGCGAAACTAAGTTGTGTATCACTCAAAATTATGTTATCTGTCAAAGTCAGTCG